ATACATCCACAAACGAGTGGGATACACACTTTCTCCCACTCCACCTCGCCTACTAACCGCGCAGCCCATACCATGGATACTGCCTAAAAYGTCCATCCTACGTGGAATCCGACTCTGCCATYAGCTTCGCCTCACCAAGAAACCCCAATTTCAAATCTTACTCCGCCCGATTCCGTTAAGGAACGGGCGAGCTATGCCTTCTTCCTCCTCATCACTTTGCCTCCTTCATCTTCGGTGTCCCTGTCGTTTCTTCCCAAATACARCACGCCCCTACTGCTTTTGGCCTGATAGCAGTTCGGGCTATCAAAAATTGCTAACCAAGGYCCGCCCCTCCTTTTGTACTGGTCATGTTTGCGCAGGGGCCATGGTAATATTCCCAATATCATTTCCAATCCTACCGGATGTCCCGAAGGACTGCGCCATGGGAATAGCCCAAAACAAAATCATCATGGGCCAGACTGGTCAGAGTGTTTTTTTTTTTTTTTTTTTTTTGGGTATCTGGTGGCATTTGGACTTCAAACTTCAGCCTGTGTTTCTGCAGCCCGTGGGTGTACCCACTGAGCTAGGCTCTCAATTTTCAAGGCCGGTCCTGGCACCTACACCGGACTGGGCGGGCTCCCGACAGCCTGGGATTTGCGGTGTCTTACCCATCTGCACCCGGCCACGCTCAAACTCATGTCCCTATTTTAACAGTTCATGGGTGTACCAACTGAGCTAGGCCCGTTATTTGCCTGGTCAGCCCCGGTACCAGACGCAGCGGTCATGACAGTCCGCTGCAGCCTCTGCTGGCACCCCCTTTGGCCACGCCCTGCTCAGCCATGGCTCACCATCTTTTCTGATCCCAGTGGGAATACTCACACTACTACCCCAAATCCGCAAAATATGTAGGTTTGGGACAGACCAATTCGAGGTTTTAGGCATGGCTCAGGTCACACTGCTGTACCCCTTTCAGATGGGACAAGTATGCAGCAATGGCAAATGGGTACTTCACTGGTCACACGGTGCTATCCCCAAATTGCGCGCGAACTCTTGTGAACCAATCTCTACCAATTGTCAAAAGTGATGCCAAAATAAATGAATAAAATAGGGCATCTGCGGTCATCCCCAAATGTGACCGCAAATTCCCTTGCCCCGAGGCTACACAGGCTGTTGACAAATGGGCTCACAAAAATGGTACCTTTGGGGTCTCGACAAATCTGTGTGACCGGTCCCGCACCTCGCTGGTCCCAATGGGCRTGCTCACTCTCAACCCTCTCACTGCAKATCCCGGTTGGCAGACGGTGCACCYGCGGAGTGTCCCCGCCACTCAAGTTTCTCCCGCCTCGTGGCTAATCACCRTCCGGCTTGCATGCACGTTGAACTCCTCGGCCCGTGTTTCAACARTTCATGGTTGTATCARCCGGATCAAGCCCGTTGGTCCCCATAGACAGTCTTCATACCTATACTGGGGCCGCRTCTCAGAAACGGGACCGACAAAAATAGAAAAAAAAAWWAWATTAAAARTACGGACACCGGAAGATGGTGCTTTTGAGGAAGGGAAACCGTCAGTACCCTTCTCAGTTCCGCCGACCGGCCTACGGATGGGCCGGCAACAAAACCAAGGGGGATAGCCCCGCCGGGCCCTCAACCCCTCGGCATCTTCAGCCGCTCCGATGTTCTATCACGGCCGGTYGCCGCCCTCGATCCCTATACCGTCRCTTTGAAAGTCCAATGCCGTTACCAGTAGTGCTAGTACCCAAGGTTGAGATGGACMACYGCAAGATTTAATATAAATTGTTGCCGCAYGGCRCRTGGGCCTACYAAAATACCCCAAGRCCACTCCTGCGCCTACGGACSAAACTCAYGAYTGTCGACCTATGACGCCCGCTGCTCATAGGGCCTGTCTCCGTCCACGACTGTCAACCTCYCGCGTCCCCCGCGCAGMGGYCACCGCATGTATTCTATTTTCTCTTGCATGCCCCAARTACTGCCCAAAGCAACACCACTTCYRACGACGCATGCCGTATGAACGCAGGTGCACCACGGTCRCTTCAATAAAAGAAAACTTTTCCTAGTTTTAATCAAAGCCAAAAATTTTRCCGGCGGAAACGCCGACTSTATAATATCAAAATAAAATTCATCACGCACGTCTCAAAACTGCGTGCTCACACACTCTCTACTCCTAGTCAACCATTCAGTGAGTGCGAACAAAACGCAACTGCGACTCGC